CTTATGCTTTAACAAAGCTATTAAATGAGATTGCAGCTTTGACTGAGGTTTCATGATTGAAGGATTCTTCCTACCTTTATTTTGCTACTTGAAAGCAAAATAAGTTTTAAACCCTAAGACTCTAGGGAGCATATGTATTTCTATCATATTAATAACAACCAGCAGTCATTTTTGAAGCAGTGTTAGCATGTTAGTGTAACAATGGAAAGATAAACCTAGAACAAAACCAAAGGTCTTTGAGAAAGACCAGTGTTCAGCAGGCACGCTGTACCGACCCGAATCTGGGAACTTTTCAGAATCTTTGGAGGCTAGAAGGATGGAAACTACTGACAGGGTTTTTATTTTCTGGTGTGATCCTAAAAATACAGTTTGCACTCATCTAATATAATCATTTCTAACTTTAAATGTAGATTGACAGTATGTCATTGTGATCACACAGGGTTGTGTCTTCCAGACCCACTTTTATACATGGAAATACTTTTTGCATAACAGCCCTTTTGGGGTTTACTTTAACAAATAATTTAGGCTCATGCTCTTCTTTTTCAGCCCTGATGCTCTGATGATGTCAGGGGCAGAGCAGAACCCTCAGGAGGGAGGCAGGGTTGACACAGTGTTCCAGCGGGAGGCTAGGTTGGAACACTGCATCAGGTAAGCGTAAAACTACGCCCCTGCCTCCGCAAGATACAGTCTTAAAGACTAACTTCTGTGGGTGGGCGTGAAGCTCTTGGTTGGCATTTATAGGGAGCCAGGTTGAAGGAGGTGCGGTTTAGTTACAGACCTAGTGCTTCTCAGTCTCATGACTGTTAGTTTCTAGAACATAGGTAATTTGTTCTTTTTCTACTACCATTTGTTGTTCTATATAAGAGGCGATGTGTGATTTTGCTAATTTATTCTAGAAATAAATTTTGGATTTTCTAGGACAGTGAGTTTTCACACTTTTTAGTCTTAGGACCCCTTTACATTCTTAAAAATTATCGTGGACCACAAAAGAGTTTATGCGGACGAGATCTATCGGTAATTACCTATTCAACAAAATAGTTACCCTTTTAGAAATTAAAACTGATAGATTTTATGCTTTGTTTTAAAATAACAATAGAACACCTTTTATATATTAACAGATATTTTTAGGAAAACAACCGTATTCTCCAAAATAAGAAAAAAAATTATAAAAAGGATGGCATTGTTTTACATCTTTGCAAACCTCTTTAATATCTGGTTTAATAGAAGACAGCTAGATTCTCATATTTCCTTTTGCGTTCAGTCTGTTGGATATGTTACGTTGTTTGAAATGTGTCAGGAATTGGCAAACTAAAGGCTGAGGACCAAACAGTCTGCTGTCTCTGTGTAGTCCACAAGCACAGTGGGGTGGCGGTGGTTTTTTTAATCGAGGTGGGGGGGGCAGTATTTCATGATACATGAAATTTATATGAAATTAAAATTTTACTTTCCGCAAATAAAATTTTATTAGACTACAAACCAACCTCATTCCTTCACAAGTTATTTCTGGCTGCTTTTGCACTGCAATAGTTGCACGTTTGCAGCAGAGACCATATAGGCCGTCTGCAAAGCCTAAAATATATACTGTCTGGCCTTTGTAGAAAAAGGTTGCCAGTCTCTAATACATGAAGAAAACGTGGCCTCAGTAGTAAAAGGAGGACTATTTTCAGATAATTACAGATGTTCTTTGGTACTACTCCAAAACTCAACAGATGGTAATTTCTTAAAGGTTAATTGAGAGCCGAGACCATATAGATGAATTGTTTGTACTGTTACATCAAAATCCATAGGTTTGCCTTGCACTTTGAATACACTTTGAGCGAATCTTTTACCCCATGCATGATTTTGTAACTTAGTGCATTGATTACTTGTAAAACATCAGTTTATTGAGTTATACAGACCTTTCTTTCAAACATTGGGACATTTTATTATAAAATGTCAAAAAAGCGTATATGTTAACATAACCTAGCTTATCAAAGAAGCATTGTGAAGTTCTTGAGAGTATGGGCATGGATACACATTTTCCAAAATTCTTATTTTTTGCTTGAAAGCTCAAACTTTGTCATTTGTAACAAATACTGAAGACAGTTGGTTTTCCTGGAAGTGACAGGCTCACTTAATTCATTTTTGAGAAAATGCCTGCATCATATCCAAGTCTGCATAATTATAGTTTATCAGCTATTCTTTCAAGGAAAATGGTGTTCCATGACAAAAGTGGCCTGTTCAGCTGACAACTGAGTCATACAAGTACTTTTCCTTGAGACCACTGTAATCCTGGATATGAAATAGAGTGCTTTGTATACGTTTCCCTTTTTTTTTTTTTTTTTTTTTTTGCCATGCAGAGTATTGAGACGTGTTTTCAGGGTTGAGGTTTCATAAAAATAATTTTTAGTGTGATAATTGTGAGCGTTCTTCAGTGAAGTTGTCATGCTTGTTTATTTTAACTGGAATGCGTGGGGTGAAGGATATAATGACTAATATATTTTGGTGCCACTGCCTTGATTTTTGCTTATTGATAAGCCAGCAGTTTTACCCGCCATTGCTTTTGCTTCATTGTCGTAGGTGCCGTCACAGGAAAAAGCATTATTATCATTACAAAAACCATTTTGACTTTTCAGAGCCCGTAAAAAGTCCTGGGGACTCCCCAGGAGTCCATGGACCACAGTTTGAGAATTGGTACTCGAGGAAAATAACTATTAGAATAATTATGAAGTACAATTATTTGGGTGGCTAACATTTCACTTCTCGGCCTCGAGAGGCTGGACCCAAGGCAGTTCTGTACCAGTGAACCAAAGAGGTTCCCAGAATCTACCCTAAATTGTAACTGCCCTGAAGTGGGGGTAGGGTGCAGTCTGATCCTAAATTTGTAAGTAGAAGACTGAGACAGGAGAGCAGAAGTCTGGAAAGCTAAACCAGGGCCCCAGTTTGCCCTGAGATGACATTTCAAACTTCACTGATACAGTCTGACTTTAGATAGATAGGTTCTTTTGAAAATTAATCATTCTGTGGTTAAGACTATTCTAATTCTGCTTTTCTCCATATGAATACCTGCTTTTGGTTATCTCTGACGTTGCTTCATTCACCATCCTCATTTCACTTAGAGCGAACAGTCAAATTTATAGCCATTATCTTCCTTTCCTTAACTTCCTTTCCCTTGGTAATCATAGGGGGAAAAGTCTGTAATTTTCGTTCACACTGAGAACTACAATGGATTTATCATAAATAATGTTTTCATTAGTCCTTCTCTGAGAGTTTTGAACCTTCATAGAATATTATAGGAGGCATTGGTTCTACACCACTCGGACACGTTTATTGACAAAGGGACAAGATTAAGAAAAAAGTAGCAACTATTCTTGATCTTGGAAAACAAAAGTTTATCAAAATATGCTGGACTGCAAATTAGGACTTAAAGAAGTTATGTCAGGGTAAGCGAATGGCAAATTTGAGATAGCCATGGAACAGAAATGGGGCAAAGAGAAATTTTGAGAACTTTTTCAAAATGTCAACAGGTAATTTTTGTTTTAGGAAAGTAACAGTAAAGAAGAATGAATTTAAATGGAGAACCTGAAAGTAACTCAAAAAATATTTGAGTGCCTGCTATGTATTAGGTCCTCTGTTAGGCCCTAAAATATAAAGGATTTGCTTATGAATAGGTTGAAAGGTAAAAACCTTTATATTGCTAAGTTATATGGCCATCTATTAGGAATTTGAAGTACAGTTAATGGCAAATGTCTTTCTGATGGAGAAACTCAGGTGCTGTTTTATTCAACTTGCCCATGGTCAAACAGTGAGATGCTGACAGATTTTAGAATCATATTTTTGTTACAGGTTCTCAATAGATTAAGTAGTCCCATTAATTTGACAATTAATCTGATTTTCAGGCTGGGGTTATATTCAAAACCATGTAAAATTTGGGAAAATTGGATTCAGAGTTTAGTTGCTGTTGAAATTCCTTCTGTTTTTACATTGGAATGTAATTACATTGTAATGTAATTATACATTGTAATGATAAAAGTTGGCTTATTGACTTTGCTTTTTGCCCAAGCCTGGGACCTTTCCTTTCCTTTTGCTGTCTGCCTTGCCAATATATGCTGCTTTTTGGTAACGGGGAGGTTTGTAGAGAAAATGTGAGTGAATGAGTTCTAAATCAGCAGTTTCCAAATTATATTCCAAGGGAATATGGAAGGATTTTGTTTGATAAAAATGGTTTGTGTTTGGGAAAAACTGGTTAAATAAAGTTTATTTGTTCAAGGACATTACAAGTCTTTGATACACAGGTGTGCATGGGGATGTTCAACAGGGAGTTATAGTATCACCACATTTATTTGAACAGGAAGCCTAATTTTTTAAAGCACCTTAATGATTAATCTTCCATGAAATACACTCTGGGAACTGGTGTGAGATTATTAGAAAATGATTCAAAATAAACCATAAGAGACTCTGAAATAGAGAACAAACTGAGAGTTGCTCAAGGGGTATTGGGGGGATGGGCTAAATGGGTGATAGACATTAAGGGGGGTGCTGGTTGAGATAAGCACTGGGTGTCATAAGTAAGTGATGAATCACTAAATTCTGTTCCTGACATCATCATTACACCATATGTTAACTAACTTGGATTTAAATTAAAAAAGACATCTAGTCAAGTAAGATAAAATTAAAATAAAATAAAATAAAATAAAGTAAAATAAAATAAAATAAAATAAATTATTCAGAGCATGTGTCTATTGCATTTGTTGTTATGTGTAACACTCTTTTTCTCTATTTATGCCTGACTAGATTTTATTTTCATGGAAAGCTATGGTTCCGAGTAGACAATACATAGCATTAATAAGTATTGCCTGATTATTTGATTTTTAAAGTGTTTATTTGGGGAGCATAAGGAAAGGAAATTCAGTTTATAAATTACTGCTTTTGAAAATCTTTTGTTCGGTTTTCTTTTATAAGTAAATATTCCTAAACTAAATGTATTGTTTATAGAGAATTTCTCTGTTTTTCAATTGCAGACGTTGGGGATCAGCCAGGTGAGGTAGGTTATTCAGGCTCTCCTGCAGAAGCACCTCCAAGCAAGTCGCCGTCAATGCCGTCACTAAACCAGACTTGGCCTGAGTTGAATCAGAGCAGTGAGGTTAGCAGATCTTCCCTTTTCTTTTACTAACATTAATTATTTTAAGGTAAGAAGTTCCAGACAGAGTAATTTCAGCAGATAGCTCTGTCAGTATGCATGCATGAGAGAACATACCCAATAGGACTGTGATAAAGGTTTATAATGACGTGACTGAGCTTTTCCAAGTATTTTTCATAATAAATACTATCGTTTGGTTTCCAGCACTTATTCCTGCTAAAGCCTTGTGAGTTAGATGGGGCAGACACATGAAGTTAACAAAGGGGTGGATATCTTGGCCCACATATGTCATAGCCAGAGAGGGTCTGGAGCTAAGATTTAAACACAGATCCTTTGACATTCAGTCAGCTGTGCCCACCGTATCACACGGTCTTCTCATTTCCTGTAAGCAAGGTATGTGATAATATATTCCGTATCTCAGCATTGGAAGTGAGTGTGAGAAGTCACTCTCCAGCTTTCCACATGAAAAAAGCATTTTCTACAACCCAAGCTATTTATAATAATTTAGTTCTATGCTATACAAAATGGAACGATTTAACTACCAAATACAGTGGTTAAAAGATAAATCGTGTCAGACCAAGCACAGCATGCAAAACAGAATTTGAGACCAAATACACTGCCTCCCCCCATTACTTGAGCTCCTCTATAGAAAACAATAGAAATAGGGCCACTCTGATTAGAAAAAAAAAAAAAAAAAAGCCCAGAGGCCCTCCCATAGGGCCACTCTGATTAGAAAAAGAGAAGGCCCGAGGTCCCCCGACTCTGCTAAACCTTAATGCTGTGTAAAACTCCTAGGAAACCACTGGCCTGGTCTGTGAGAGCAGTTTTCTTTGTGAACAAGTACTTTTTTTCTTCTGGTTTTTGATATCACTTTTATAGTGCTACAAACCTAGAAGTTTGTTGTTTCAGGAAAAATTCTAAGCTTTCTGTTTTCCATGTATTTTAAAGGCTGAAAAACACTAGATGGAAGGGACACTAGTTAATTTTACATAGTTGGAAAGCAGAGAAGGAACTGGCAAATTTTAAGTACTTGCAGCTGCTTTATGACATAATCACAGATACGTGTCTGAGACCTTATAACATACATTTATCAAATAACCATCTAAGTCCTTGTTAGAGGGAGGAATTAAGGCTTAAAAGAATTTACTAGTGGGAAAAAAAATTTACTAGTAGGCTTTATAGAAAGTACGGTCAGTTTTCTTGAAATCACTAATTTTTGCTACATTTATTCATTTGTCATTTTTAAAAGCACTATCAGATTAAAGGAATATTTATATTCCATTGATATCAGTTCATAAATAAAAGCAACTCGTTCTAAATCAACTCAGTTCTAAAGCCCATCTTCATTCTCAGTAAAATTGCATGTGATCATTAAAGACGAGGAATGGAGTCCCTTCCAAATTCTGATTTCAGTAGTTGCATTTTCCTTTCAGTATTCCTAGCAAGTTTCATTTTGTAGTATTTGCTACAATGTTCATCATGAGTGTCACAATTTTTTTTAACTACATATGAAAAATCAGAATGTTACTAAAACTAACATTGATTTTGAGACATTTTAATAGTATTTATAAAAAGTATATATACTTAGGGTATGGAATTTAAATTACATTTTAATTTTCTACCACAAAGCACTAATACTCTTTCAGCAAATACTCAGCACCTGCAAACACGGACGGGGCACTGGTTAACACTAATAATGGCACCTCACATTTGTCGAGCATAAATTTTGCTGTGCCAGCTCTGTCTAAAAAGCTCTCACATGTGTTAACTCCTGACAGCTTCGTCACAACCTTGTGATACAGGTATTATTAGCCTCATGTTACAGATGGTGAAACTGAAGCACAGAGAGGTTAAATAACTCGCCTAAGGTCATACAGCATAACTAGGATTCCAGCAGCATGCTTTTAGCCATTATACTAAAGTAAAGATCTGGGTTGTTTCTCTGCTCTCCAGGTAGCTTATATATAACCTTAAAAAACCCAAGTAAAACTTCATGCCACCAGATAAGATAGGTAATGCCTTTTTTTTTTTTTTTTTGGCAAAAATCTTCTGCATCTAAACTTTTCTCCATAATTAGATAATTAGGATTTTAAAAATTTCTTCTCTACCCCTGCAACAATAATTATTGAAGAAACTGATTATATTAATAACATCACTGAAGTGATGTCCGTGACAAAAGTGAATTGTTGTGGGTTTTCTTTATTCAAGAATCATTTTGAATGCATTAGTATTTCTATCTTAATTTTTATGAAAAAACTTATCTAGAGGGAGAGTTGTTGAATGATTTATATTATCTATTTTTGTAGATAATTTTCATCAGCGTATTTGCTAATCTTTAATTTCTACATGTCTTCTCAAATTGAATATCACTATTTTAAATAGTAAGTCGAACTTTGAAGCATAAAAATGTATACTTTTCCACACTGAATTATAGAAAGGATTTTGGCTAATAGAGTAGGGTGTGTCTGTGTGTAAACATTTGTGTGTATATATTGTACATGTGTAGATGTTTTTCCTTCTTCAGAGAATAACTGATAATTCTTAATCAAATTTTAATGCAATTTTGATATAAAATTCTTAGCTATTTTATTACTAAGATCTCCCAAACAAATGGAATTTACTAAAATTAACGTATGATCACTCCACCTGTTTTAAGAGGTATGATATTCGTGTACCTCTTTTAGAGGAGTAGTATTTCATATCAAAATATATCTTCTATATATAACACAAACTCAGATGCTTGATTTGCTCTCATTGTGGCCGCATTCTGATTTTTCTAGCATGGGGTGGGGGGCGGTGCCTGATGGGCAGTTCTGTCTTGTGGTCTGGCATGGCCCTGTTCGTAGTGCTGATGGCAGGGGTTGACTTGCTACAGATTGACATAAGCTCAAACATATATTAATTCCGGAAATCTTTTCATTTTACCTCAATTATATTTTATTAAATATCTCTGCATACGGATAAAATATGTGCACGTACATAATAGAATCATCTTTCAGGGGTCGCACTGGCAAGTCACAGTGACTTGCTTTGTTTTGACCAAAACTTTGGTACACAGGATTCATTTAGCATCACCAAATCAATACATTAACATTAGAATTTTGAAAGAAGGATTTGAAGTAATACTTTCTCTAATGAAGACCAACCCCTTCACATTTTTACTTTGTTGCCATTTATATCACTTAGATTCTCTTCCTACAGGGTGTTTTGAGTTTTAATTCTGTGACACTTTGAATCTCTCCCGTTGAGATTGCAATAAATTGTTATCCTACGTTGGAATGTGAAGCTGCCCGCCTTAACATTTTAAGATGACCCAGCATAGAGAAGTATAAAATGTTTATGGAAAAACAGCAATTACGGAATTTTGTCAGGCCTTTGAAACACAACTTGCAGTGCAACCTCTGAATTACTTTGCTAAATCTTCTCCAATGATCTTTGACTCCATCTTTCTCATCATGCTGACTTGTCTCTCCTCTGTCTGTTCAGCAGTGGGAGACATTTAGTGAACGCTCTTCAAGCTCACAAACTCTGACCCAATTTGATTCTAACATTGCACCAGCTGATCCTGTAAGTCAATCACTTAGCTTGCTTGTTTGAAATTAATTTTATTAACCCAAATTTCCATTCATTATGGTTTTTAGCTGATATGCATGATTGAGTGGAGTGCTTAGAGGGAAATGGTGGCAGGCTTTTCAATTTTTGTGTGCTTAATGGTGGAAAGAACATTTTTTTTTTAATCATTCTCTGTATTTTCTAGTTATTTTGATGACAGAAAACTGTATGTTTTTACAATCTGGTATATGTGTCTAAGGAAGTATTTTGTGAAAATTGGTTTAGCTGACCTTGTTTTCATTTGCTAATTAAGTGTATGTTCTAGTAAACATATACTGTGTATCTCAGTGACACTTAGTAATACTGTTTTATTTGTATGCTTACACATCATGTAATATGTACTATGTATGTAAATATGCAGTGTCCTCTTTTATTTTAACAGTCCAGATGATATGGCTTTGACTTAATTAGTATGTTGAGTTCTGTTATACAGAATCAAGCTCAGCAAAAGAATACAGAGTTGTTGGTCACAGATTCCCATTGTGCAAGAGAGCCTCCGTCTTGTCTTCCTGTGGCTCACTGTGTTGCTTTGAAAATGCTACAAAGTTCACATCTCAGATTTAAAAAATAAATTCTACCCCATAGAATTAATTTCATGTATACCCAACTTGCCCCTCAAATTATTTGAAAACTTCAAAACCGTAGCTATTAACCATTCTTCTCACTGTTCACTCCTCCTTTTCCTTTTATTTTTTCTCTTAAAGAGAAGGACATGCTAATAAGCACCTTTCAAAAAGAAAAGAGGAAGTAAGTAGGAAGGAAGGGAAGAAGAGAGTAAAGGTAGGATTTTTTTTTTTTTAAATGAGTTGAGTGGAAAGATACGGAAAAAGTGACAAGGCATTCTTTTTAGATGTTTCTGATCAAAGAGTTAGTTTTTAATTAGTTTTTAATTAAATATAGAAATAGCCCTATTTAATGTGGATTTAGAAGAAATGGCATTTAAAGATAGTAGTACATCTTAGTAGTTTAAATGAATGGATCTTTCGTGTGCTTCATAATTTTAAACAATTTGTATCTGTGAAATAGTGAGGATGCTGTTATATTGAAAACAGATAACTTATGGAAGTGTTTTAAGTGTCTGTTTCATAGTTCATTAACTATGTAGATCATCTGCCTTTTGCTTCTCTTAACTGCTGTTTTGAGGGCATTAATCTTCAGTTTTGATCTGAAAATTAAGGAGGAATAAAAAAACAAAATATAATTTCTGCTGCTTGTTAGGGCTGTAATTAAGGTCTTTTGGGAAGTGACAGGTGCTATGAGCTGAAAGACAGTTTACCTTTGTTGTAAGTTTTATTTCTCCATATTATTCTTGTCTCCTACTTAGTCAAGTTATTTTTATTTAAAATACTTAATGGAAGTCCTTTTTTGAGAAGGCAAGTTTGATGTAGCAATAAAGAAATGCTCTGTTTTATTCTCTAACCCTTAAGAGAGGTGAAAATAATCATGGTATGACGATTTTTTTGTCAGGCCAGGAAAGAACATTATGTATAAAAATATAAAACTCAGAGGCAAAATAAATTGAGTCATGACTGGCAGGAAATGCCAGGAAATATTTGACTTCATAATATTGATGTTCTTGTAACCTTTTGGAAAAAAAATACGCAAATTTTTGAATTCTGGCTCTAGTGTTGAAAATGATATGGCTCCACACTTTATGTTTTTATCTTCAGTGTGGCAGGAGGTTCTAGGAAATTGTTAATTGCTATTTTTAACTTGAATTTAGATCTCTAAACTTGATAAAGTTGGCAGTCTTAACTATTTATAATCTGGTACCTAGAAATATCTTTTTTCTGTTACGGTGCTAAACTTAAATCTAAACTTTGTTCCCCAACTAGTAATCTCACTTTAAACCTGGCATTAGGAAAATGCCCTGCTCCCATCGAGGATCTAATAAGTTCTTACCCTTCGCTCAATGCTTATCTGGCGTACTGTCTTCTACAGAACACAGCCTATACCCACAATCCCAAATGATCCTTTGCAAGGCTTCAATAAATAATTACAAGTGAGTAAGTAAGGTCCACACAGATTAGAAGAGAGTCGCCTAAGAGAAAAATACCACTGCAGTTCTAATATGCATTTACATACCTTACAGTGTTGGAAACATTTAATGGAATGGTTTTTAAAAGCTAAAAATTATAATTAGCCATTCGCTCAACAAGGTGAAAGTCTGTGAAAAGCCCCACACTTCTCTGTAGCACGTAGAGACATCTATATCACACAGTACAGTGACCCCACATGCACACTGAGATGGGTAATTTTTAGGCTCCCAGAATTGTGATGAAATTGAGTTTCTGATAGCTCATTTCCAGAAACTTGATTGCTTTTGTTGAACTACTTTATCATTTTTTTTTTAATTTTTTTTTCAACGTTTTATTTATTTTTGGGACAGAGAGAGACAGAGCATGAACGGGGGAGGGGCAGAGAGAGAGGGAGACACAGAATCAGAAACAGGCTCCAGGCTCTGAGCCATCAGCCCAGAGCCTGACGCAGGGCTCGAACTCACGGACCGCGAGATCGTGACCTGGCTGAAGTCGGACGCTTAACCGACTGCGCCACCCAGGCGCCCCAGAACTACTTTATCATTAATAGCCTCTGGTAGAATCTCCTTCTGCTACTAAATTCTAGACTGATGAGAAGTGTAATGCTCTAGTCTTTGCCATGATGTATGCCCAATCTCGAGTGCCGCCGAACTTCTGAGTAATTCAGGGTATAAAAAGGAAGTGTAGTTTGCTTACAGATTATGCCCAGCCAACTCACCTGGTTTGGTGGGGCCCCCTTCTAAGTGCCTCTGATACTCCCTAGGGGTGTAAAATGTCACACACACGCGCGCGCGCGCGCACACACACACACACACACACACACACACACAAATTCCAGTCTTAAGTAGACCACAGCTTAATCATTATAAGTTGATGGTTATAATACAGCTGATTGTGATAATTATCATATATAGTGTGAGCAGGATTGTGGGCAGAATACTGTGAGCTCACTCAACCCAGTGTATTTGGGCAAGTTTTCACAAAAGAGGTTATGTTTGTATGCTGAGGTTTGAGTGAAACTCTGAATTGGCAGGAGTGGACAAGGGCATCCCAAGCAGAGAGAATATCACAAGCAGATCTGGTAAGTGGCAAGAGTATAGGGTAGACACGTGGTTGGCGATTCGAATGATGGGGCTAAGGGTTGAAACCAGACTGGGAAGAACTTTGTGTACTAGACCAGGGATCTGAACTTAATCTCCTAGACACGAGGAGCCAGCCGGGAGTGCCGTGACAAGATGAGGTGAGAAAGGCAGTTAGGGAAGATCACTCAGGCAGGAAACAATGTGAAGGATCAATGGGAACAAGAGAGAGCAAGCTGGTAAGTGACACAGAAGTGGAAAGTAGGCAGACTGGGTTCAGACAGGATAATGGGATTTAAGGCAAGTGGAAACTACAGATAAATGAGCATAATATATTTAAAATGTGTACATGGAATCAGATGTCCAAATATATGACACAAATGTGCCATAAGTGATTAGGAATGAGTTTCCTAGAGGTGATGAGGTGATTTTAGTAGGTGGAAGAAACTGGGCAGAGCCTGCTAGTCGGTCTTCCTACTTTTTTCTCTGTAAATTTGGGGATGCTAATTTGGAGCAGAGAAGGTGTTACTTTGGCATCTTATGGCTCAGGATTCAGAAGCCTGTAGGCGTTCACGGTTCTTGATTTGGATGTGGAAATGCTCAGAGGCAAAGCTCTCTGTCCTGCTGCAAGTCTCAATCACAAGCGAAGCTTCTGACACATACGGCAGTTGTAGGTTAGGCCTGTCATCTGTGTAAAGCCCTGCGAGGGGCCGCCTTGTCCTGCAGTGGGTACAGCCGTTGTGGGCTCCCGGCAACCAGTGGTTGCGTGACTGAAGTATGTGACCCAGAATTGATTTGCTGGCACAGAAACTTAACAGAAATTATTTGGAGGATGAATAGAACATTCATGATTTTCTTTTTTTGGGACCATTATCGTGACTTCCATGGAGTGTACTGGAAATATATGAAAAGGCTACTTAATCGTTCCAACTGTTACAAGTTCTATGTATCTGATTTCATACACACGCAAAATATATATTAGATGAATATTAAAACATCTAAGAAGGTTTTTTTTGCTTGTTTTTTCCTAGTTTGGGGTTTGGAGTTAAGAACTTATCTCACGAACTATCATTTTTTTCTTCTTTGACCTTGCTTTATGAGGTTAAATTCTGATTCTCATGGCATTTATTTCTGCCACTAACATTGCGAGTTAAGAAAGTAGTATTTATCCCCTAAAGCCATGTTTTTTATAACTGTAAATACAACAAAGAACATCTTACATGTATTGTTAAAATATTTCCCTGAGAATGACTCTTTATTATATGAGAAATCTAAACTTGTATCCACATATGTATTCATATTTATAACTGTGATTTTAGAGTTGTAGAGGAAATGTTCGAACTTTGTCCAGAGCCTTGCTGGTATGGGGGCAGAAAATTGCTACGAATGGGTGTATCAGTACAATTGCAACAAAAAATTCATTTGTCATAAATTGGTTGGATGTAGAGATTACGAGAGTAAGCCAGGGAGACCTGTCAAACAAGAGACAGTGTCGTGGAACTGAACTTTGTCTAGCAGAGGCTTCGTGTCGCCTGCTACTCTCAACCAAAAATGGTGTCTGACTTAAACTGAAAAGTCCTGATCCTTCACACTAAATCATAAACATAACTCATAACTAGATATCTGAAATTTCAGGATCTCAAGTTTAGTCTTTAGTAGGAGCACACACAAAATAGGAACTGAGTCTTCATAGAAGGAACTGAGCCCCCTAGCAGTACTGGTCAGTTGCTATTCAGCCAAATGCTTGATCCCATTCTGGTCCCTCCCCTGTGGGTCTCAGCTGCCAGTGCCAGGTCTGCCTCGTACCCAGGTGCACCTTTCTCCTTCTCTTGTCTTTCCGAGAGGCTTGTCTCCATCCTCTCTTCTTACTTTGCTCTTTTCGTTCTTTTCGGAGGTCTGTTTGGCCAGTTTCCTTACTCCTTTAACTACACTTGCCACTCACGAAGGGATTTCAGATGTATTACAGTCATGAAAAGGTTTAAGAAAAATGTGAAAATGTTGAGAGTAGGAGTCTTATTCCTCTTAAAAAACGCATGCCTTTGTGGAAGTTTTTTAAACAGTTCTGTAGAACTAATCTGTAGAAAGTACGTGTCGTGCCTACTGTTAAAATATAGCAAGGATTATTACCTTTGTTTTGTATAGGAAGAAGTAAATGTCCATTTTTTTTCAGCAGTTTAGTGAAAGAGTTCAATCTGTTAAGTGTTTGGGTTCTCACGAAATAGTTGTTCCCTTTAACCTCAAAGGTTCAAATTCGTATAATTTCATGAGATCGTCTCACACTCTGCCTTCGATTATTGTCTTCAGTGGTAGTTTCATGGATCTTCTTTTCACTCAAACCTTAACCACTCAAGCTAAAGTGTATTTTTTGTCAAAGAAACCAGAATGTTAGGCACGCAGAGTGAACTGGACTTTTCGCTATAATTCTGAAACATTCCATTAAGAAATTAATTTTCGCGCTTGCCTTCGCATGAATGAGAAAGTCTGTCCACCAGTTTTTAAAGTGTCGTCAATTTTTACCGTTTCGTGGTGTCGGCGTGGCACTTGTGATGTAAAGTCTGTGTTTCCCGTGTGCCTGCAGGACACCGCTATCGTGCATCCGGTTCCCATCCGCATGACTCCGAGCAAGATCCACATGCAGGAGATGGAGCTGAAAAGAACCAGCAGCGGTGAGAGGGCTGCTGCCTGCTGCCGGGCCGGGCTCCGGTTGGCGGTTAGCGGCAACTAAATGCACAGTTCCTCTTCGGGGGTTCACGTCTAGTTCATCATTGTCTGTTTTTTAACATAGTCCTTTCTGCAAGCATGCATATACATGCGGGCGTGTATGTGCTTTTCATCTTGTATCAGTTGAGTTTATATTACAAAGTCTTAAAGGAAGGACTCTTGGCATATGTGGCGTTCCAACACCCCGTGGGTTTTTATGATAACTGGTGTGAATTCACATTTTAAGCGTGTTGGGATTTTAACCAAAGAGGTTTACGGTTAAAATAAATTTTAGCTTTAAAATTGTATGTTTTGCTTGAACTCTTGAAGTTTCTCCCTACTTTAAATTTTTTGTTTTTAATGTTTATTCATTTCTGAGAGACAGAGAGAGACAGAGCATGAGCAGGGGAGGGGCAGGGAGACAGGGAGACACAGAATCCCGAAGCAGGCTCCAGGCTCCGAGCTGTCAGCACAGAGCCCGATGTGGGGCTCGAACTCACGAACTGCGAGATCATGACCTGAGCCGAAGTCAGACGCTCAACCGACTGAGCCACCCAGGCGCCCCTCTCCTTACTTTAGATTAAATGTTTCAGTTAGGGCTTCTCAGAGGTATATTTATTTTGTATATAAATCAGCATTATAAATTACCTTTTTTTTTTTAGAGAGAAAGATTGTGTACATGGGAGGGGCAGGGGGAGAGAGAGAGAGAGAGAGAGAGAGAGAGAATCGTAAGCAAGTTCCATGCTTAGCAGGGAGGATGACACGGGGCTCGATCCCACCACCCTGGGATCGTGACCTGAGCTAAAATCAAGAATCGGATGCTTAAATGACTGAGCCGCCACCCAGTCACCCCATAAACTACTTACTTTACAACCATATGTGGGGTGCTTTGTTTAATTACCCTGAAGGGGATAAAATTAATGAAGTATGAACATACAACTTGACTCTTCTGTTATAAAGTATCTTCTGTTACTGCAGAAAACTAAATTCTATATAAACAAGCTTATATTTTATTAAAAATACTGTTTTGTCTTATATCTCATGGCATACCTGCTACTTCTTTGCAATGCCTAAATGAAGTCTTGAACTCTGAGGTTTATGAATTGTATTAATTCAGGTCTCGTACTTTCACCTATTAATTCTCTACTAGATCATACTAATCCCACTAGCCCATTACTTGTGAAAACGTCTGACCTGTCAGAGGAAAGTAAGATAAATTCATCGGTGAAATTTGCTTCTGGAAATACTGTAGGTAAGTGAAAAATAGCATTACAGCTTCCATTTGAAGTTGATTGAGTCTCAATTTAGAGTCTGAATAATTCAAATGTGTAGCTATTTCATATTACCTTTACTGAATAAAGTAGAGATTAGTCAACCCTTTGATACCTCCTACCCTCTAGATGGGTAAATGGTTGCTCATTGCCTCCTGGACCTGCTTCCAGGCAGGCTTTCTGTTTGCCATCCCTCTCGGTTAGCCACGTTTAGTCCATGACTCCTCCCACCAGCTCCTTTCTCTCTCTCTCTCAGTAAATTGTGTATACATTCATTTATGCAGCCTGTGTTAATGGAATACTGCGTGCCAGGCTCTGTTCTAGACACTGGGGATTCAGCAGTTAAAACAGAAAAAAAAAAAATCTTTGCCCTAGTGGAGCTTACATTCGGTAGGGGGTGTAAAAGAAAAACTTAGTTTAAAAAAAAAAGGAGCTCGCGTCTTAGGAGATAATTAACACAGTGGATAAGGATAAAGCTGGGAAAGGGAAGAGGAAGTGACATTTTAAATAAGGTAGTCAAAGAAGACCTTACCAAAAGATGACACTTGGGTTAAAATTTGAAGGAGATGAGGGATTCAGCTTTGAATATCTGAAGGAAGGACGTTTAAGGCACAGGAAAGGGCACACGTGAAGCCCTGGTTTAGAGTAGTCATCAGGGAACAGTGTAAGAATGGCTCTTACTGAATGAGATGAAAAGCCATTAGAAGGTTTTGAACGAAGAAGTATGTGGTTGGCCTTTATTTTTTAACAGGATCACTCTGGCTGCTGTATTGGTAACAGGCCTGAAGAAAGCAAGAGTCAAAACAGGGAAATAATAGACTAATATTTAGACTATATTAGAATGATACAGGCGAGAGAAGGTGACAGCCTGGCCTGGAGTGGTAGCAGGGGGAGTGCTGAGAAACGGTCAGATTCTGACTCTGTTTGGTGGGGAAAGTACGTGGGACCTGCTTACCTGTGTGATCGAGGATGGGGGTGAGAGGTCAAGGGCGATTCCGGGAATTTTGGCCTGATACACTAGGAACTGAGGAAGGCTGTGGTAAGAGTAGGTTTGTTGGGGAAGATTGGAAGTTGACTTTTGGATATCTCCGGTTTGAGGTGCCTGTTAGAACATCCAAGTAGAAATCGGGTAGTTTTAGTATCATTCCTGTAGAATTAAACAGTTCAGTTATTTGATGAGAAAAAGGAACGGGGTACATTTTGAAATGAAACTAAACCAAATAACCAGTCCCTTTAATTTGTAATCCTTGAAAGTGTGGAGTAGTATTAGTGTTCCTTCAGATCGACCCTGGAGTTTCTGTTTTAAAATCTGTTACTGTATCACAACCATTAGGCTGCCTCTGGAGTTCTCTGCTCCTCATAAGAGTTTGAGGAATTGGCAGTGAAACTTTCTCAGGCGAAAAATGGTGAACCTCTGACTAATTTCATGAGTTTTATTGTGGTCTATGCATATTTTTTATTCCTATTTACATTAACTTCTCTAGATTATAACTTGTTCCGTGTGCATAGTATTTTGTTGTGTAAATATGCCATGATTTATTTGATTTATATTTAATTGTTAACATTTAACGACACTAGGATGAACTCTTAAGCTGTTAGCCAGTCTTTAAATGTCTCTGATTTGAAGTAATAATTATCGTACTCGTTTAGAGTATCTAGAGTAAAAAGTGAATAAAAAATCATTATTAAATAGGGTATATTCCATTTATCAGCAGATGGGTACAGTAGTTCAGACTCTTTTACTTCGGACCCAGAGCAGCTTGGAAACAATGTAACTCATCAAAGGTCAGTATTTCTGTCAATAAAAAAACACATGAAATATGTTGTCACATTGTAATATTGAGAATTATTTTAGAACCAAGTATAAATTATTTTCCTCTATTCTTCAGTTCTCTGAACGCTGTTAGGTTGCCTCCTGGTTTATGTAGAAGGGAGATGATTTCGATTCTTTCCAACTCTAATAGGAAAACAAAAGGAACCCTTATCTTAACCCCGTGGTAGTCTCTGGAAGGTTTAGGAAGTGCTGTAGTAGCATTAGCAGTTTAAGGTAGTCCTTTGTGAAGGTAAACAGCTGAGAGTCTAAATAAGTACTAGAGGTACAGATTTTCTTTTAAAGCCTTGGTGGCAAGTGTCAGCAATTGTTTTGAGATGCCATCTTTCTAGATGGCACACCCTCATGTTGGCCTACCTACCCTCCCTGAAGATCTGCGTGACATAGAACTTTTCAGACACAAATAAAAAAGGTGTGGGATAGGGTGAAGGTGGCCAGGGATTTGTCTGCAAGGGCTTAACTTAACCATCCACTAAAATCCGTGGACAGGACAGGAGCATCTTTTTCCCCTCTCCTGTTATTCATGCTCAGTATCCTTTGGCCACGTGCCTGGAGGATGTATATAGAGACAAGTAACACAGAATCTCAGAAGAGCTTCTTGAGTCAAAGCCTGCTTCTTCATATAATTCTTTCTGTATATCTTAGAGTTCTCAGTCATCTTGAGTTTTATTCTTCTTTTTATCCCTATAAGTGAGGAGCAGATTGTCAGAGTCCGTGAGACTCTTTTTCAGAATACAAAAGACTTCGGTGGCAAAAAAGTGAATCTCTGGGGGGGGGGGGGGGGGGTCGAAAATGAGGACAGTCCCCTATACGATGAGATGGCCTGTGGAGACACGGGAATGGTCACCTCAGATAGTTGAGCAAGATTCTGCTTCACTTTCCCAAACTTCAAACTTTAAATAAGTTGAAAGCTAATCATATCTGAAAGTGAAGTCTCTCTTTCTTGAAAATGATTTTTCAAACTAATATTACCTTTAATGGAATGGGAAAGCCATTACTAGGTTTGCAGTCTACCTTGAATTCATGTTAATAACTTTCTTTTCAGATTTTTTAAATGTATAATTATCCTTTATAATTAAAGGGTGTTTGCCCCATTAAATAATTTTTTGTTTAACGTATATCAGAAAGTCTTCTTTTTATTCATTGGTATACTTGTCATACCTACTTGAGAAAATGTCACACCACTGAGATCCTTTGCTGCTTAGCCAAGTTGAATGCTTAAAAAGAAGAAAGCTCCAATACCAGTAGCATCACGAAGTGTAATGGGTGGATTTTGTAGGTCTCATTCTGGAACGTCGCCTGATAACACTGCACCACCACCTCCCCCTCCAAGGCCTCAGCCTTCTCATTCTAGATCATCATCTTTAGATATGAATCGGACCTTTGCAGTCACCACAGGTGGGTCAGAAGACCATAAAATCATTTGATTCTAAAGTTCATTAAAGAGCACAACATTTTATTTTCTTTTCTCTTAATATGTCTCATTTTTTTATCTGAAGAAGAATTTTGAATTTAAAAGGTGTCAAGTGAGAGGAGTTTTTTTTTCTTAATGTGATTGAGTTAAAATGATAAAAGATGGGAACCTGAGAGATGCCACCAGAGAGTTTAAAACAACCATGTGGAGAGAGATTAAGGAGGGAAAGCTGACAGAGGAGAGAGAAGACACATAACTTACTCCAAGGTTTTAATTTCTATATAACTGGTTGTATTGTTACTATGTTGATCAAAATAGAAAAGTTAGGACCAGGCGATGAAGATGTTCTGTTTTGGACATTATGAGTTTGGAGTGATGAGGAAAAGGGGACATAATAACAGGCTATTGGACTTGTGGGTTAAGAAAGATTGTATTATTTGAGAATCATTTACATAGAAACGGTAGAGTGAATGAAAAAAGAAAATTTGGACGTCTGCGTATTTTATAGCTGAAGAGCATTCAGAAGTAGAAGAAAGCCAAGATGGTATAGTATTATGGAAACAAGCATGTCACGACTGTCTCGTGCAGAGAACAAGAGAAACGAGGTCTGAGAAAGGGCCATGAGGCTTGGTTATTAAGTCCTATGTAGATAGTTTTACAGGATAGTAAATGCCTTCTAGTACTTATCAAACATTCTTACAAATCTTCATCATTTGATCACATTCACTCCACCTGTTTGTTGTACTAGCAAAGTGTGTATTTACTAAAAAGACAACTTGTGTGTTTACTCAGGACAACAACAGGCTGGGGTTGTTGCCCACCCTCCTGCAGTGCCTCCAAGGCCACAGCCCTCACAGGTAATCCTTCAGTGCTTCCATTACTTAGGTGTTCACTGCTACTCTAGAATTACTTTGAAGATCAGGAATTACCTAATTGTCATTCCTTTTTTTTTTTTTTAATGTTTATTTTTGAGAGAGAGAGAGAGACACACACAGAGTGTGAGCAAGGGAGGGGCAGAGAGAGAGGGAGACACAGAATCCGAAGCAGGCTCCGGGCTCCGAGCTGTCAGCACAGAGCCCCACATGGGGCTCGAACCCACGAACCGCGAGATCATGACCTGAGCCAGAGTCAGACGCTTAACCAACTGAGCTACCCAGGCGCTCCTCTAGTTGTCATTCTTAATGAACATTTCATTCAGAGAAGCTAAGTCTTGTTTGGAAGTCAAGAATAATGATTGGAGTTATCTTTTGAAAGAAGCTTAAAAGTGGACCAAATGATAATGTCTTGATAAAGGAAGGTTTAGTGGAAAGAACAACAGGTTGGGCGACAGGAGATGTCCGTTTATGTCCTGGATCTAGCAGCACCTCAGTGCCCTCACTGCATCTCTCTGGCGATGTTATTCCAGCAGTAGAGGAAGTGTTAGATGACCTCTGTATCCCTGCCAGGTAGAAATTGTTTCCGTCTAATCTGTTCTAAGATTCTCGATTATAGCTGTTAGTTTTATGAAACTGGCTGGCTGACTACCTTTTACATGAATGAATTCGGTTGATTTTTCTGAGTTAGATCCTTATAATGAAGTTGGTTATTTGAAGTTAAAAAGATGGTTTCTTAGTCTTTACGAGTAAGATACTGAAATTTGAAGATTTTAGTATGTATTTTACCTCAAGTACTATCGAAAATATATATTGGGTTAAACTGGAAACCCAGGGAGTTGGTCACTTGATTCAAGAACCAGTCCAGCGGGGAAGACAGACCTATAAACAACAATTACAGGACAAGTGCTGCTCCAGGCGTATTTGTAAAATGCTTCGCCACAGCTTTACTAGCTAGTGAAGTCAAGGGTCACGTTGAAAAGGTGTAAATAAAACGAAGGAAGTAAGGCTTTAAGCAAAGACTTGAGAGATGAAGTAGTGTTTCTTGGGGAGAGGGCCCTCCAATCAGAAGGAATGACATTGCCTGGCATAATCAAGGGAAGATGAGTTAGTTCTGTGCAGCCAGAGTGACGGGGAATGAAACTGTGGACACGGGGAAGGGGCAGAGCATCTCCAGATCAAGAGTTTTTCTTACAGGAGATGGATAAGCAGGGAAGAGACTGCAGATTTATTCCTGTGTTGTCCTGTACTTCCATCACAATAAAACTGCTCACACTGTATTTTAATTCCTTGTTTTCTTGCTCTTATCCTGCACTAGACTATCTGCTTCATTAGGTCATGGGCCTTATTTTTTTGTTTGCTGTTATTTCCATAGTGCTTAGCCAAAAGTTAGATCCTCAATAAATGTATTTTTGGGTTGAAGATTTTAGAGGATTGCTCTGGCAGAGGAGTGGAAGAAAGTTGAAGGGAAGTAATGCCAAAGTATTGGGAGAATAGTTAGAGCGGTGGTTTTCACACTTTAACATAACCTTTTTAGAAATATGGTGGAACATTTTTTTAATAAAAGTAACTTTTTTAAAGCACAAACTGTTGTGCAGTGGCCCGATTAAAAAAAAAAAAAAAAGGCACAAGTAGAGAATCTGGGAGTAGGGCCAGACCCTCCCTGTCCTCGGATGTACTTTCTTTGTAATAAGAATTTTGTAAAAGTATCTTTTTTTTAAATCTCCTTTATTTTTTTTTTTTTTAATTTTTTTTTTCAACGTTTATTTATTTTTGGGACAGAGAGAGACAGAGCATGAACGGGGGAGGGGCAGAGAGAGAGGGAGACACAGAATCGGAAACAGGCTCCAGGCTCTGAGCCATCAGACCAGAGCCTGACGCGGGGCTCGAACTCATGGACCGCGAGATCGTGACCTGGCTGAAGTCAGACGCTTAACCGACTGCGCCACCCAGGCGCCCCTAAATCTCCTTTAAAAACTTATTTATTTTGAGAGCGAGCACAAGCAGGGGCCAGGGGGCGGGGAGGGGGGCGCGGGGAGAGAATCCCAAGCAGGCTCCGTGCTGTCAACGCAGAGCCCAGCCGGGTTTGATCTCATGAGTCGGACGCTTAACCACCTGAGCCACCCAGCTGCCCCTAAAAGTATCTTTTTTTATTGAAAGTTTGTCATCTTAACCTCTTGAGTGTCTCAGCATGTCACTTACAGTTTTTTAGAGGCTAGATGCTACTGTAGCTCACCTCCCTGAATTTACAGGTAACAAGGTTATTTGTACAATGTATTTTCAAAGAAGGTTGCTGCCAGTGATACACTAATGTGTGTTCCTCCCTCCTAAACCATCGTGTAGGCTCCTGGTCCCGTTGTGCATCGCCCAGTGGATGCCGATGGCCTAATAACTCACACTAGTACCTCACCTCAGCAGATACCAGAACAACCAAATTTTGCAGATTTCAGCCAGTTTGAAGTATTTGCTGCGTCAAATGTAAATGAAGAACAAGAGGATGAAGCCGAGAAACATGCAGAGGTCTTACCGGTGAGTTTTCAAGGGCTTTAGCTGATTTTCTACTGGGAAACGCTTCCCACATTGTATTCATAAGTAGGTCTGTAAACAGAGGAACCTTTAAAAAGTAGATACTAGAATGGACATAAGTGAATAAAATATCTTCTGCTGCTGCTCTAGAGGATTTCTGTTTCCTAGGTCTGTGCTTCTTAATTTCTTTAATTGGTCTTAGACACCTGCTGGTTGCAATATAATGCTTAATAAGAATGAGAATCTGCGTGGAAGTTAGTTGTCGTGTGAAAAGATACAAACACGACCGTCTGGTCATGGCTGAAACACTGCTCAGGGGCTTGCTTCTTAATGCTGAGTGTCTGATGTGTGATCTGGTGAAGATTTCCGTGTAATAAGTGGCTGTGGTTACCATAGCTACACTCCATTTGTGTGACAGTAAGTCACTTCAGTTAGACAGCAGCGTTCCAGGAGATTCTGTTTAGTTCTAGCGGCAAGAACTTCTCTAGGGATTCCCGACCTCACTAAACATAAATGTGAAGTTGGAGAGACTTACTAAAGCTTCTTACAGATCCGATCCATGGGAAATTTTCTACTAGCCGCTTCTTCAAGCCTGTAACTTTCTGCCTAGCCCTGGGGCCTCTAGGTGTGTGGGCTGTGCCTCCAGGAAGGCAGGGCGAGCCTGAGGGGAAGTCCAGGTGTGCCCAGGGCATTGCGTACTCGGCTCTCTGGGGTGGAGGCATCCGCTCCCCCAACCGCAAGAATTTTCCAGACTGTGCCGGGCTGCATTCTCAGCCCTCCCCTTCTCCCTCAGAGACCTGTCACCTTCCCTGCTCCCTGCTTTTCTGTAGGACAGAATAGTCATTGTACGGGGTTTTCTCAAATTCCTTATTATCAGACTGAACATTTTCTTAATATTTTACTCTCTGATTTGTTAACATATGTATTTATGCATAATTTTATACTGTTACATATAGTTAGGAATGATAATATATTCATCTCTAGGTTGAAAAAGCTTCTGATCCTGCAAGTTCTCTTCGAGTTGCCAAAACAGATAGTAAAATTGAAGAGAAGACAGCTGCTAGTGCTCCTGCCAATGTGGTAGGCGACAAGTCTTGTATAATATTGGTTATTTTGTACATATAAAATGTGATATGACGTCATTTTTACTTTGTAAGATTTTAAAACTGACAGAAATCTTAGAAATAAAGTTAACTGTAGAGCAACCTAACCCACCCACTGCCAGAACTGTAATATACTGAGTCGGTCTCAGAACAAGGTCTGCCCGTTTAAAAATTCTAGGAGATAATAGTCTGTCGTCCAGTATAGACCATAGGTTCTCAGAACTCATGTTACTACATTGTTCACATGCATAAAATAGAGCTTCCTTATTGGTCACATTCAGTTTGTTTTATTGCAGTCTTAAATGTCATAGGGAAAAATGGTCAACGCTTGAAGAATGTTATGCTCTGGGCTCTTCTTGACTGTTTTGGGGATTATTTTTTCCCCAGCACATTTCATGAAAATTTCGACACACATGGTAAAGTTGAGAGAATTTTACGTTATATACATCAAAAAACCCACACTTGACCGTACCATTACCAGTTTCCTGTACTTGCATTGTCATGTATCTCTCTGTCCTTTATCTACATCAGGTTTTCGTATCTGTTTTTTGCATTTCAAAGTAAATTACAGATACTGGCATATTTTTCTGTTCAGAGAAGTGTCTTGGTAATTTTTTTTTTCTGTTCTCATCCAGATATTCCCAGTAGTTATTACAGCACATGCCTCTGAAAGTGCTTAAATTGTGCTTTCTGGACACCTTAGTTTGTACCGTATTTCTGTGATTTTTTTAATAGTGTGTTTTTGTCAGCTCACGGGAACACATAGCACTTAACCAAAGATATGGCAGTTGATTCTCATTTTTATCTATGAACAGATCAAATCAGGTTATGGTAAATGCCAAAATACCATATTTGAATCTCAGTTTCCAACAAAATGTCCACTTGTATTCAAGAGTTACAAATTACTGGGGCTCCTGGTGGGCTCAGTCGGTTAAGCGTCCGACTTCGGGGCAGGTCATGATCTCACGGTTTATGGGTTCGAGCCCCACAGCGGGCTCTGTGCTGACAGCTTGGAGCCTGGATCCTGCCTCAGATTCTGTGTCTCCCTCTCTCTCTGCCCTCCCCGCTCATGCTGTCACACGCATGTGCGCATTCTCTCTCTCTCTCCCCCCCCAAAATAAACATTTAAAAAGTTACAATTATTGTGCATTTTAGTTATGAGTTTTAAAGTATTGCCTAGCTTTCTACTTCTTTATAAATTGCTTTATTATTGATATATTTTAGTATTTTTGAGTAGGAAATCCTAGGATAATGGATACATATTTCTGGAGGCTCCCTTTTATACTTATTAAACAGGTATATATATTGAGCATGTTTCTTGTTAACATTTAAACTGTGAATATTATAGTTTTGAGTCAGATTTGGGACTCAAGGAACTCCTGTTGCCCTTTTCAAAAGAGTATCTTGTTGGGTACATTCACAGTTGTGATGTCAACAGCCTCTCCTATTGAAATGTAACTTAGCTGTGGTTACATCTGTATAAATTGTTTTAAAATGGGACAGATGACTTTTAATTTTTGGAGAATAAGCAGTTTAAAGAAAGCAAATGGTGTTGGTGAAGTGCTAATTAACCGTGAATGTCTTCAGGACGTGCTCCTTGTTGACAGAATTCTTCTCCTCCAGAGCAAAGGCACAACACCCCTTGCGCCACCACCTAAACCTGTTCGCAGAAGATTAAAATCGGAAGATGAGTTAAGGCCAGAAGTTGATGAACATACACAGAAGACCGGTGTCTTAGCTGCTGTTCTTGCATCACAGCCTTCTATTCCTAGGTAATCAGAGTAGTTCTGAAACAAATGTAATTACTAGTAACAAAAAGCACAGCAATTAAATTATCAGACTAGCTCTTCAGTTGAGCAGAGGTTCTCAGCTTCTCCTCTTTAAGCATTTTCTCTTTTATGAGCAGGTGTAATATGCTTTCCGCTTTTCCTCTTTCTATTATTAAGTTCAATTCCATTTTAAAACCCAAACGCAAACCCTTGAGCAGATTTTTAAAAAATTGATAGTGTAGAATAACACTAATATTTTAACTACGGTTGTCTTAGATCCAGCTGACTCAGGGGCTTGTGCGCCAAATTCATCCCATGGCCTGTTTTTGTAAGTCCCAGAACTAAGGCTTTCACATTTGTGTAAAAAAGAGAAGAGCCAAGAGAAAGGAAACAAAACAAAACAAAACAAAACAAGAATATGCTGCAGAAACCATATGACCCACAAATTTAAAATATTTACTGTGTGGTTGTATACAGAAGAGGGTTACTGATGAGTTCTACAGAAGAAGAACAATTAAAACAATAATAATTAAGCTTTGATACTTTTGGCTGACCACTGAAACCAAGCAAGTGAGGTTGAACTATGCCATTAAGGCAAAAGATGCTCTTCTACTTTCTGGATTTAGTGATAGGTCAGGGAAGAATGAGAGAATTTAAAGATAAGAAATGAAAGTCATGTTTTCTTACCCTCTTTATCTTCTCAGGTCTGTTGGGAAAGATAAGAAAGCAATTCAGGCATCAATTAGACGCAATAAGGAAACCAACACAGTTTTGGCCAGATTGAACAGTGAATTGCAGCAACAGTTAAAGGTATTCTGAATCTCTACTGGGGAACTTCCATGGACTCAAAACATCTTAGAGTTAATAGGAACTTAGAAGTGATCCAGCAATTCATAGGCTATATGGAACTTCCCAGGTAGCAAGAGAAACAAACGAGTTATCGAAAATGTTCTTTACGCCTTTGAACCTTTTCATATTAGAAGGAATTTTGCATATTCAATTCTGGTCTGATTGCCATACCCTACATATATATGGCATCACTATTTCTGTAATATTCCTGAACTTTCATAATGAAACCCTAGAGAGGAAATGTCGTGACCTCAGGTACCTCCAAGATTATAGACATGGTTCTCTATGCTCTTACTGAATTCTAAGATGATTTGAGTATTGTTAGTTTATCCTTTTATCAAAGACAACTCAGAATCTATTAAAGGGACTCAAACAGGTCTAAAGAAGAAGGAGGATGCGGACAATTTAGATCATGTCACATGTGGAAGAGAAAAGACTAGCCTTCAGTAGAAATGCTGCTTATGGCCAGCGTGTACTCCTGTCAACTGTACTTGAGAGGAATGGGTTTGTTTTTCTTACTACTGTGATTTCTTTGAATCCCTCCAAATAAAAATCAGCCAGAAAGAATCATTTATGGTTTACCAACATTATTAAATATTCATGTCTTGTAAACCAGTGGCTCTCAAATCTTAACATGTACACAGTTAATCAGGGGTCATGTTAAAATGCAAATTCTGGTTCATATTAGGTATGGCATGGGCCTTGAGAATTCTGCATTTCTCATAAGCTTCCAGATGATGACTGTTGCTCTCAGTTCGCGTAGCAAGGTTATAAACCACAAAGATGAGAAAAGAGTCTGTGGAAGTATAAATTGAATTATGAAATTTGTAAAATAAATGCAGAGTTAGTTCGTTCCCAAAACATTCTGTTTATATCCCTCATCTAGCATTTATCACACTATCTGGAATTACTGTCCATGGCACATTTGTCTCTCTGGCCTACTAAAATGAACTCACTGAGTGAGAGTAAAGCATATTTTCTGTTCAGGGCGACCGTAATACATTGTCCAAATCAAAATACTTTTCAGAGAAAAGAGAGAGGGATGTGTTAATGTGTAGGCCAGGACATCAGAAATAAACTGGGGCTCTCCTAGATAAACTCACAACCGTATTGTCTCCATCCCCAAAACCTAGCGCATGTTAGGCATTTGATAAATACCTGTGAATGAATGGTATTTTTGTACAACTCTTGGATCAAAGAAGAGATTTGTAGTCTATGGTTATGAATTTGGTCTGTTGTAAAGGAAGAATGTAAAACTGAGAACAAGCTTGCTTACCATACCTTGACGATGGAAGTCTTATCAGCACATGTTTTTCTGAAGAACTAAGGAAGCCTATAGAAACATCTATATAGAAGCTATGTTAAAAATCACTTTTTTCACTATATCTGAGAACAGAAAAAGGAAGTAGGATATGAAATAGGAAGAGGTAGCTCTGGTTAAAACACGATACTATCAGTGTGATCGAGAAAAAGAAAAAACAAAGCAGGTGAGTTAGAATTTCCTGGCTGTCTGAAAAGACGGCTCAGAATCAACAGTGATTAGAAATTCTGATTGCAAAATAGATTTATTCTTTGTGAAACTGAAACTCAGATGAGTTTCAGGAGTTTTTATGACCAGGTATCACCAGGAGAAAGAATCTGTTTAATTGATTCATCAGCTGTTACTGCAGGGGGTAGGTTTTATGCAAAATGCATGCATGAATAGCCATCATTTGCAAATTTTGGCTTTTCTAATAATTAAAAAACATTTTATTACCCTGATTTATTTTGTAAGAAAAAGATTTCAGTTAAGATCGTATCTTAATTTTGTGTACATTTAAAGAAACTACTTTTCTCAAGTGAGGTATCCTTTTAAAATATGAATGACTATCCCTTCATCACAAGTTTAAATGGTTTTCTTGATGCTTAGTTGTTGTATATGTGCCTTCATTTTTGTGTACTTTGAAATATAACTTAGCTTTGCATCTTTTCTCAGGATGTTCTTGAGGAGAGAATTTCTCTGGAAGTTCAACTGGAACAACTTCGACCGTTCTCTCACCTATAAGCCAATTGCCGTTAACTGTGAACATACCCATTTTTAAGCAGTTCTGGGTCCAAGCCAATTTGGAGACCCAGACAGTCAGCTCACTGCTTAATTCAACATTGAATTTTATGATTCTGTTTTGCCCTTTATGTTCACCTGTATTTAAGTATCTTTTATTTTTTAATTTCAACAATAAAAGGGTCAGGATGACTTTTTCTGGAGGTTATATTGTTTTTGTTGGCACAGCCCACTCTTCTTTACTCCGTAGCATCAGGAACTCGGAACATGGGTCCAGTGCACTTATGTGGCCAGAACCTCACACTGATTTGATTTACAGAACGGCCTTCCTGTTTATATCTCAAGCACAGACTGAAATATTTGCAAAAGGGGAGACAAAATTAAATGAATTGTCAAGTTGTCTTTTAGGTTTACATAAAGCACCTATGGGTTTTTTTGTAAAAATCTTTAAAATGAGTTTCCTACTGAATTTTTTTATTCGAAAGAACTATATTGCATGAGGCACTCTTTAACCCTAATCAGCAGTCTTCAGGAGTCACGTGGCACTTTCAGGTTCTTCCATGTCCACTTGGGGGTCAGAATTTATCATTTCTCTTGTGAAAATTTGAGCCATTTTACCAGTAACTTAAAATTTTCGTGTGTGAGGTTTTGACTCAGCAGTCATGTAAACTTACAAGATAGCTATGAAGCCAGGCCTTTCTTATTTGTCTCCTAGAAGGGAAGGGAAGGGAAAGCGTTGAAACCACCAACAACATAAGTACCGTCCACTTGCAAACATCACCATTTTTTGCATGAGTTATGCACTTGACTCTCAGTTAGAAGCTTATGCTTATCAGTCACTACAGGGATTATTTTCAGGTAATAATGTTTTAAAACTTCTGAGGGCATTAATTATCACAGAATAAATGGAAATTTCTTGAGATTTCCAGTTTTACCTTCAGCTATCCTGTCCTTCATTCTTTCGCCATAGAGACAGGTTTTTTCCTATTAACGGAGCTTCTGAGGTGTGCCCTATTAAGAATGATATACTGTCTTAGAATTTGTTTTACATTATATGATAAATACATTTTGATCACATTTGTAAATTTGCATTCACTGCTGACCAACAACAGATGTTCCCTTTAATGGTTTATTCTGTCTGTCGGATCAAGATGTTAAGCTGCATGGATATATCATGACAGAATCAAAGTGTGATTTTACACTAATAAAACAGCACAATATTTAACTTCTGTATATTTTTCAAGAATTAGAAGGAATCTGTGTGTTTATTAAAGATGTTTAATATAGCCCAGTTCACAATCCTAGACTGTACTACTAGATTTTATTATTATCTTAAAGGAGAATATGAAACAGGAAAGTAACAACTGAAAGCTTCCAATATTAATATCTACTTTAAGTGAAAAATATTATTACTGCATACATCAGCAAAAGTTTCCAGGTAGCTAACAGGTTATGGCTTCAGTTTGTTAAATAATTGAATGAAGGCCTTTTAAAGACACAGAAAACTACTCAACACCTATTTTGCTGTTTCTCTTAAAACAGAATTGTCTTACTTCCTTTATTTTTGTTTCTTAAAAGTTTTTTTTTTTTCCCCACCAACCTTCTAATTTAACAATGTCTAATTTAACTTTTTAAAACTTACTTGGTAGGTCTAAAATTTTAATTTTGAAGCCAAAGAAAGAAAGAAAATTTTGAAGTTTGCAACCAAAAAACACTTAAGAGTCACAGAAAACTTTTTAGTGCTTTGTAGTGGTTTGTTTTTAATGCTCTCTGGAGGACTACATTCATATTAAGGATATAGACGACAAGTTTTTAAGTTATTTATATTACTTATACACATTTCTAAATCAATTATATCATGAAAATTTATAAAGATATGATAAGTCACCAACAAAATATTTCTCTAAACTGATCATTTAAAAAACGCTTTTTATTCCAATTTTGTTTTTCATTAGATCACAAAATAAAACTTTCAAATTAAAATAATATTGTCTATGAAAATAACTACCAAAAGAAGTGCTTCAAAATTTTGGACTCAAATTGTTACTGTACAATTTCACATAGTTGAACATGGATGATAAAGCTTAAAAGTTAGGAGGGACTAAAGTCCCTAGGGATCATCCTAGTTCGTTCTCCTATCATCCGTGACAAATAGTTATTCTGCTTCCTGCTGGATCTTCTGGAATAGAAAATACATTGTGTTTGCCAGGGAGAATTAACACCCAGAATGTTTTCTCACTTGTCCAAACTGCTTTTGATGGCATGTTGGAGTGCTGACAACCATAGGAATTTGTCGTCCCCAGCCTCTGTAGCACAAATCCATTCACGTTTTGGACCTTGAACAATAAATGCATTCCTGATATCTGTAAAAATATTTGAGGTATACTAATTAATGTTGGCAGGTCACAATCAAAATGTTTTAACATTCAAGAATTGACCAAGTCACTGAGAATTTTTTGAAAACTAAAAAGGGATTCCAACAAATACAAATCCAGTTTAGAATATAAGTTCCTAAAAATACTGAATAATTTAGATATCTAAGATAGCTTTTGTCTTTGTAATTGTTCAATTGTAATTAGCAGTTAGTTTTAAAGACTAAATGGTAGATGATATAATGTTCCTTAATTTTTTTGTCTCGGCCACTCCAGAAGAACTGGAATCAGTACGGTCTGCACTAAGAGCTGGTGCAGGTAGAGATGTGAGACCTAGGCCTGCACCACGCCGGTATGAAGGCCGGTGTCAGAATTAAGCCAGTTACGTACTTGAGTGCCAACCGCCTAGCAGGTTATAGAATGATGTTTTGACACAGGGAAGAGCTTACTTAGGGGAGGTGAAAGCAGACATCCTACCCTCCTTAACCATTCCCGGTGATTATAGACAGCTTAACTCAGGTTATCTGAGTTTGTCTTCTAGGTGGAAATATTTATTTTCACCTTTGGTGTTCATCTTTTTTCAGGCTCAGATTTAAAATGGGGCTAACACTAATGGGAAGCATCCCTTTTAATTGAGTTCCTTCTCTAAGATCTTGGTTCCAGCTTTATCCTTACGTCCTGCCTTGACATGCAGTGAAAAATATTGGCCAGATTGTCTGGCCTAATAGAAATTGAGGAAAGAGAAAGATCCTTTTAAGCTTGGGAAGTAGAGTGCAGGATAATAACTAAAAATAGGCACAGTAGTGTTTTTAAGTAGGATTTCTTTTTGTAACAGACGATAGTTCTATTGAGGTTATTAATGAATGATATGTTTGTTACTAAACATCCTTTGCAAATCTGTTAATTACAGAAGAACTTTCAACTTGAATATGAATTTAAGGAATAAAAGGTGCACAGATCTGTAATAATCACTTAGTCCTAGTGGGATGGGAATGTAGATAGAAATCTAAAATAGTAGCAAGTATACGCAGTGTAGAGTCCTAGTAAAATGGAAAAGTGATGGATAATAATCTAAAATTGTAGCATTTACAAGAAGTGGCGAGTAGTGGTCATAAGGGCTCCAGCTCTCCTGTCAATTGCTTCAAAGAACTCAAGATGATGTTCGTTCATGCCTCCCTTTGTGCTTTTTGAAATTGTTTTCCTAATATGTAGGGTGCACATCTGAAAATGCAAGCATTTCTTTCTTCTGCTATTTCTAATAGATGAAAGTTTACATTAATGAAACCTAAAAAACATTTGGATAATTATCAGCAAACTTGCAAATTAAAATCCCAGTCCTATTCCCACTTTTATATTTTCATAGTTAATGAGCATTATATAATACAGCTTTCTGAAGGTACTTAACTCTTGGAAGAAAAAGAATACATACATTTGGAATCTGGAATATCCTCTACAAGTAACCTATGAAGAGCCACCGACGCAATGAACTGGTAGGTTGATTTTGAAGTCCTTTCAAACGGAGTATGAGATGTGCCCCGACTCGAAACAAGTAGTGCATCATTGAAGAGAAAAAGACTGAGATCACGGGTGTGTTCATAGGTCCTGTGTTAAAAGTGAAGGAGGATTACGTATACATACATACATGCTTTGTTACACAATTCATCATCTTTGCATTGATAAGCCAATTGTCAAGGCTTTTGCCCACTGCAGACCTTTGGAATGGCTGGCTGAAGTTCTGTGTAGTCCCTTCTGTCTCTCAGATGTGAATAGTCCCTCCTGTCTCTCAGACCAGGGCTGTGGGTGGGCCTCAAGGTGCCTTGATGGAATGGTCTGAACTTACTCATTGGCCAAGTGGTCGATCAGTGTGGGGCAAATGGACGTTGAACTTTTCCTCCTTTATGACATGAATCGTGGTAAAGCTGTGTTTTCAAACTTCGGTCAAGTTTGGTATTTTAATGTTTGAAGTATTTGGGTAATCGGGAAAGTAAGTTTTTGTTTGGTTTCATCTTTAAGGGTAACAACAGTTTGGGGTAGAGAAAAACACAAGAACCAGTGTGGCACAAGGTGTCTTAAGCACAAAGCAGGGACAAATGCATTGAACTCCTAGGTAGGAAATTCGAATTTCTCTAATTTTGATTGGAGGGAAATCAATAGATGCTACACTTCATCGGTATGAAAGGTTAAGCAGCTCTTCATTTTCACTGAGATTGCTGCGATGGTTTATCAACAGGCAATACGTGACGTCCACCCCCGTCTCTGACCCCCTTTGCTGTTGTGTTGCTGGAGCCGGGTCTCTGTGTCTGGTAGGTGCCAGTGTGCTCTAGTAGGACTTCTCAGCAGAGAATCAAGCAACGGGTTGGGGAAGAGCCAGGGGAGCCACACCTCCCCCCCAAACACAGTGTCCCCGGCGTCCCCCTCCCCACACACCAGGAGTGGCTAAGTGAAGCCGGCTCAGGGTTTTACGGAAGGATAACCAAAAACCTTTCTTCTCTTAGAACCATCAAGCAATCCTCAGTTACTCCAAGAAAGGGAGCCACTTTACAGGCTTGATGTTCACAGGAAGTCTCTTCGTTTTTTATCTCAACCATCTTTGTTTAATTTTTAAATTGTCTCTGAACATCCACATCAAGTTTTACATAAATGCTAAGGTGACATCAGTCCATACCCTTGGTTTTTTTAAGTGTACTTTTTTGGTCACTTTTTCTTTTTGCTTGGCTCCCTCCTCCCTACATTCAATTCATCCAAGTTACCAAGCTAGTACCTGGCTTTCTTCATTTTCTTCCCCGCTCAGGTAATCACACGCATATGCACGAATATACACATCTATTTATAGATAGGTTGCCATTATTTTACAAAAATGGAAATATTAGTCACACTTTTTTCCTGCTTTTGTCCACAATGGAAATCACTTCAAGTTAACTGGTATGGCTTTAATTTATCCTTTTTAATGGCCAGCTAATACTTTATGGTGTGGGTAGCCCTTTTGATGCACATTGGTTTTGTTTACAGGCCTGGGTCTTTTTCCTCCCTTCCCTTTCTCTCTCCTTCCTTTCACTAGTTCTTTGTTGTCACTATGAGCGGTGTTCCAATAAACCGATCTTTACATGTAAACAAATCCCTTACATGCTGTTATTTCTATCAGGTTTTAGGGGGTTCGATTGATTGGTCACAGGGTTTATGTATTTTTATCGAAAACTTCCAGATTGCTGTCCCTAAAAGCTGCTATAATTACCATTTAGAATCCATTTTATACAATGGTTCTGGCTTGTACATAGTACAAACTTTTTTTTTTTAACATTTTATTTTTGAGAGAGGGTGGGGGAGGGGCAGATGGGGGGTGGGGACAGAGGATCCAAAGCAGGCTCTGCGCTGACAGCAGCAAGCTCCATACGGAGCTCAAACCCGTGAACCGTGAGATAGGACTTGAGCCGAAGTTGGACGCTCAACTAACTGAGCCACCCAGGCACACCTCGTGGTACAAACTTTAATGTCCATCGAAATTACCTGGAGAATTGTGTTAAAATGCAAATTTTAGTGCCGTAGAGCTACAGTAGCCTGCGAATTTCTACATTTCTAAAATCTAATAGGTTTTCAGCTCATCTAATAGATGATGCTGATGTGCAGACCACATTTTGAACAGTGAAGCATTTAAATGATTTATTGGTTACAACCACGTCAAGCTAGGCAAAGGACTGGTTCCGGGAGTTAGACATTTTTTAAGGAGTACTATGCTTCAGATTCAGCTTTTTGGAGAGTATTAGGAAATACAGGTTGTGTTAGATGTGTGGGTAAACAGAAGAACTGTGATCACCCAACCGTAAGCCAGCTTTTTCTTTTTCACACATTCCCTTCCCATTTCTATGTGATTATGATTTAGGCTGGAAGGAGCTGGGGTGCTTGCAAGAAACAATATTCTAGGTCAAGTTGATAGGGTATTCTGACAATAGGGGTGAGGGAGAGAGGAAGCAGGAAAGGCAGGAGATAACGTTTATACAGATAAAGTCTGTATGTAATGGTCTACATGTGGTGAATGACCACTTTAAGTAGGTAAAGAACACCCATATTCTTGCCCTTTTTTGGCATTCATTTTACCATATTACTGATAACAGTTATTTTTCCTATCGTAACCAGTTTAGAAAAATGTTCAAAGCTATAATAAAATTTTTCTGTTTTATCTCAATTATCAGAGAACATGCATACAAGTTTGATTTAAAGAAGTGGCTTTGAAAGGAGTGTCTGCTTTGGTAAATGATCACTTTTTACCTTTGGAAGGGGTAATATTGAAAGTGGAGGTAAATGAAAGAATTCCAGTTTTGTGACCCACTTGGAGCAGGTGAGTGGTTAGGTGGCCCAGGGAAGGGAAGGAGCGGGCACATTAACTCGTAGTTGAGGCCACTTGCAATCAGAGGACATGAACAGGGAAACAGGCTTGAAAACGCACAAAGAGGCTTCTGTTATTTCAATCTGATTTATAAGAATTTTGTTTAAAATACAGTAAAACCTTGGATTGTGAGTGACGTTCTGCGAATGTTCTGCAAGACGAGCAAACATTTCTAATAAGTTTTAACTTGGTAAATAATGTCTACGTGACGCCGAACGTCACACAATCACAACTGAGCCCAGGGTTCTTGAAATTTGCTTTGATATAAGTGCTTTGGATTACAAGCATGTTTCTGGAATGAATTATACTCACAAACCAAACTTTTACTCTCTCTATATACCTGAGTTCTATCTAGAAAGAAGGTTTTCAAAGCCATTTACTAAATTAAGCCCCTCAAGATCAACAGTTTTCATCCACAGACAAGAAACACCAGAACTTTTTTTTTTAAACGTAACAATTCCTCTACATATATAAAAGTAAATAATTTCATCTTTCATATTGACATAATAGCGGCTAAAGTGGAAACTATGGATCCCAGTAGGGTTTCAGAAAGCCACTTCTGCTCATACTGAAAAGAACCAACCCTAAGGGGTAGGGTTTTTCCTCTAAACTTGGATAGAATTTCTTTTCTTACTCAGAAGTAGGTCAAATGACTCAGCAAAAATGTAACAGCTCTGTTCTAGTTTAAATTCCTAACATCATCCTAGAAGTGTTTTGTTGTTGTTTATTATATTAGACGGCCAAAACTACCAACTACCCAACTACTATAAATACATAAAACCTTCAAAGGAATTTTCAGAATACAACCTCGGGCACGAACAGACAACTGAGCCATCGGATCTGTGAGCTGACCTGAGTCAAAACTGTAGCTCCCATACATCCACACTCTGACTTGAGGGTTGTGTGGCTTTTTGAGTTTCCAGAATAAGAATCAGTTCAGAGTCCCGTATCCCTGGGAAGTCCCCAAAACACAGTGGCCCTGGTAAATGACTGTAGGTCTTTTGGGGTAAGGCTAAAAAGGAAAGTTTACAATCTATATTGGCAGTGTAATCGGGTTTTTCCAAGTCCCAAGAGGACTTGGTCTGAGAAGTGGATGGCTCCATTTGGTGATTCAAGGCCATGCCACTATTCACCAGTCCTAGAAGGCTCCACCTTTGGGCACCTTTGCATCAAGGTAGGAAAGAGGGAAGGAAAGAAAAAAAAA